CCCCGCCCCTCACAGGCCCCGCCCCTCCGCACACAGCCCCGCCTGCGCCACGCTCGGGCAGACGGCCTTATTCCGGAGCAGGGCCAGTGTAGACAGCCCAGGGGTCTTTTCCAGAAAAAAGCCCCCATCGCGAAAATGGCCATCGGGGCTCTTTTCCGGAAAAGCAGCCTGCCAATGTAGACGCTCCTTTTCCGGAAAAACTGAAAACGGAATAGTATTGTGTTTTAAGCAGTTCCGGAAATTCATGCCAGTGTAGATCGCGGCTTCTTGCGCAAGTACAGCCATTCTTGCGCAAGAATCTGCAGAGCGTCCACACTGCCCACCCACTCTTGCTCAAGGAAATTTACAGTACGGCGTGGTAAGAGAGGGCTTCTTGCGCAAGAGCTACGCTCTTTTTTAACAGGCATAAGCCCTCTGGCGCAGGAGCTCTTGCGCAAGAAGGCAGTGTGGACGCTCGGCAGGGATTTCTTGCGCAAGAAAGCCCTATGGCTGAAATGGCCATCGGAGCATTCTTGTGCAAAAGAGCATCCACACTGCCATGGGCGTTCTTGCACAAATGCACAGCTCGCACGTGGCAGTGTGGATGTTTTCTTGCACAAGAACCCTTGCGCAAGAAGCCGCCAGTGTAGACATAGCCCTAGTCTTTATCACATCTTCTGGCAAGGAGTTCCACTGGTTGTGCGTTGAATGAAGAAAAACTTTCTTATGTTCAAATATGCTACATCTCTCCACTAAAATGTCCCCATAGAGACCGCTCTCCATGCTCAGGCTGCCCAGCCCCCTACATCCTCCACAAATTCACTCTTATTCTGATCTTACGCAATTGACCCCAGTCTCTAACAATCTCTCTTCAGACAGAATAGTGATAAAGATGCAGCCGTGTTATTCTGGTCTAGCTGAAACAAAAGACAGAACTATGTAGCACTTTAAAGATTAACAACCATCTTGTTAGTCTTTAAAGTGCTGCATAGTCCTGTCTTTTGTCTCTTCACACACACACACACGCACCATCTGCCCCTACATCAGGTGCAGGCAATAAAATGGTGGCAGTTCACCATAGTCCCTGGTGGGCTCCTGCCACTATATTTACTTGCGCCTCTGCAGGTACAAGGGATCACAGCTTCCAATGGCCAGGAACAGCAATTCCCCCGTACTTGCAGAGGCTCAGGTAAATATGGAAGTGTAGGGGCCTGCAGCGACTAACCCTGGCAGAACAGATCTGGCCTACGGGCTGGTATCTGCCTACCCCTGCAACTCTATCCAGAGACAACTGTATTCTTTCCACCATCTTTCTTCTCCATGTGTCCACCAGAGCCCCCTCCCATCTCCCTTGAATTTAAGCTGTTTTTTTAGTTTTTTAACTGTGCAACCTTCTTGTTGCATTAATCAAGATTTTGTATTAAATTATGTACCTGAAATACTGGACCAGTATGTATACACGCAAGGTGAAACAAATCCTTATTTTCAAGAATATCAGATTCGGTTAAAATTGCTGAAATACATGGCACAATTTCTTTTTGATCTTTCGCTGTTTGTAGCTGTATCAACCTCTGTGTCTGTTCTCACATCCATGGAATAAACAGAGACAGAAGAAAACAAGCAGTACAAAAGAGAGTGTTCACTGTAGGAGTAGGTCTGCATGTAAAAGACATCTCCAAGAAGCAATAGCCACGTTGACTGGCAAAGCTCTCCCACCATCATTGCATGGTCTGCACAGGGAGTTAGAGTGCTGTCTACACGGCGATTAGATTGATTTTCACACCCCTGGGCGGCATAGTTATACTGAAATAGGTCTGTAGTGTAAACCTCACCTATGCTGTACAACATGAGACCAATAGAATTGTGTTGATTTATAGGGGTGTTCAAAAGAAGTCTCTTACACGGCTAAACTGGGATTGCATGGTAAATACACAATGTATGTGCGGTTTGTCTTCACCTGCATTAGGACTATTTAGCAACAAAAATGATGAAAATATGAGTTCTGAGGGAAGACTGGAAGAATTGGACTCTTTTAAGTTTGGAAAAGGGAAGACTGAGAGGAGACATGAGAGCAGCTTTCAAGTCTCTGAAACAGTGTTACTAGGAGGAGGGGGAAAAATTGTTCTCCTTGGCCTCTATTGATAGGACAAGAAGCAATGGGCTTAAATTGCAGCAAGAGAGGTTTAGGTTGGACA